ACATCTAGTTTACTTTTAAACCTTTAGTCAAGTCGGTTTTGCCCGGGTGATTGGTTCTTAGCTTCAGCAATTGTGTTCTTATGAGTTAGCAGTTGAAGGAAAAGAGCGCAGCATGCAGGACCCGTGCTAAGAAGGGCAGCCATAGGGAGCAGTAGAATCGGTGATGGTAACAAGTGGTCGTGGTAAGTTAGGTATTCAGAAAGGACTCAGGTCATTTTGTTCTTAGTCATGAGGAGAGCTGGTGTTACATTATTTCAATAGTCAATGTGTAATGATTCCCTTTAGGCTGAAAATTAAAGGTATATTTGAATAATGATAGTTTTAATATTTCTTCATATTTTCTTTTCTTTTATTTCATTTGACTTCAAATTGAAAAAGGAAAAGGGTAAACAAGAAAGGATTTATTAATCTATTTCCTAATATGTACCTATAAACATATATACATATACCATATATATCATTCTTTTTTTTAATATATATCATTCTTATGTAACCCAGATAAGATTTTGTGACACTTAATTTGAATATCTGGTATATTTGATTGGGGGAATTCTCCTTCAGGAGTACCACATTATGGAGCACAATGGAATTAAACATTTTCCTGTAGAATTTCAAGATGAAATCTGAGTAATTTGACATCTCCTAGATTAAAAAAAAAGTTATTGTAGGAAATGTATGCCAAAGACCTAGAACAAAAATCATATCGATGTGAATGACGGGGAGGGCGGAGTGGAGACCCAAAGTCCATCTACAGACAATTGAACATCCCCTTACAGAAAGGTCATAAGGAAGAGACGAGCCAGTCAGGGTGCATTATAGCACCAATGAAACACATAATTTTCCTCAAGTTCTTTAATGCTTCCTCCCCACCTCCACCCCCCACTAATATGACCCCAATTTTACCTTACAAATCTGGCTAGACTAGAGCATGTACCCAGGTACAGATAAGAGCTGGAAACACAGGGAATCCAGGACACGTAAATAAATCCCTCAGGACTGATAATGAGAGTAGCAATACCAGGAGGGTAAGGAGAAGTTGGGGGGAGAAAGAGGGAAACGATCACAATGATCTACATATAACTCCCTTCCAGGAGAATGGACAACAGAAAAGTGGGTGAAAGGAGACCGTGGTTGGTGTAAGACATGAACAAAAATGATAAATTATTAAAGATTCATGAAGGAGGGAGGATGGGGGAGGGGGGAAATGAGCTGATACCAAGGGCTAAAGTAGAAAATGTTTTGAAAATGATGATGGAAACATGTACAAATGTGTTGACACAATGGATGGATGGATTGATGGATGGATTATGAGAAGAGCTGTAAGAGCCCCCAGTAAAATGATTTTAAAAATTGATCATGCTCATGGTTGAACATTATTAATATCACAGAGTTGTATATGAGCAATCTCTGTGAGCACTGTTGACTCCAACATTTCTGTTTTATAATTTCAAGACTTCTCTATTTGTTGTGAATTTTAAAATGCCACGCACATTTATATAAACCCACGGTTGGTTCCAACTCAGTAAGTGAAGATCGGGCTTCTGAGACTGTCAATCTCCTGGAGCAGGCCGCCTCATCTTCCTCCCAGAGTGGCCGATGGGTTGACCAGCAGCCTGATGCCTGAACCTCCCCCCCCATCACAGCTCCTTTCCAGGCACATACCTGGTTCTGCAGTCATTTTTAGGTTATTCATACAATAGAATTCTTTTCACACACTAATTTAACAAATATATTATAATCAATGTGTGTAAAATCCTTATAACAACAGTGCTGAGAGCTTTGTAAGAGTTGATGTATCTTAATGCATTTCTTATACAACATCATCCATAAGATGTAGTAGGATGAACAGAGGTCTGGACAGACTCATTAGAAAGTGTTGGGATAAAGACTCCAAGACCTAAGACTCCTGATTGATTATTTGAAGTAGAGTAATGGATCTGACATAATTAAGCCTTCAGGGCATTACTTTTCAAGTTTCCCAAAGTTTCGCATATCTTTCCCTGGAGCAATTTAAAGTTGTGATTTAGAAAATTGCAGAGGTCCCTGAGAGCAAGAAATATATAAATGGCCTCCCTGAGCCTGGAGAAGATTCTTTAGAGAATTTCTTAGGCTTTCACAATGGGGCAGATGAAGAGCAAATGAAATGTCATATTCTCAAACTCAACTGTCTAATATTCATTCTCCTCTGATTTCTTAAATAGAAGGAACAAAACATGCTACCTAGAAAATTATATTTGACTATTATGTAGAGAAAGTTTTAAAACAATTTTGAAATAGTTTTTCTGTCAGTGTTACCTAGACCATACGTCTGTAACATCATGATTTCCTGTTGGTAATCCATCAGTCTAGTGAAAAATACAGTGAAAGAGATCAAACATAGAAGATCAAGGGGAAAAAACAAAACAAAAAACCCCTCTGACCAAGACGACTTCAATTTGGAGGTAATATCTGAAAACATGCTAACGGGTGACAGTTTTATGAGCTGAGTTGAAATAATCCATGAATTTTAAGGATGGTGTTTTCATACTAGAGGGAATCTATAGGAAATAAAAATTAAAAATCAAAGAATAATCTTTAGGTGTAGTGGGAAAATGTAGGAAAAGCAAAACCAAAAATTGCTAGCAAAAGGATGGTTCCAAATATAAAATGATTTGAAATATCCATAGGAGATAGATGTTTAAATCTAGAGTTTATCTAACTGGAAATAAAGATGCATTTGGTCAGAATATATCTCCCAAGTCTTCAGTATAATCAAAGTACTTACCTGTTGTCTAATGGTGTCATTTTTCCTTAATCCAAGGGGTCTGTTGCAGAAAAGGCAGCAGTCTCTACACTCGTGGTCCAGATTGTAAAAGCAGACTGGTGCAGCCAAAGACCTGACGCCGAATTTACCACGTAGTACTGTTTTGTTACATGTAGACACTATTTGTCCAGTATTAACCCTACGTGGGCAATTTCTTTCTCACTGGCCATGCCCCCGAGTCTCTCTTGAAGAGCCTGTTTGGGAAACTGTTACTTATTTTCACATCCATCTTTAAGCTCATGATAAATGGAAATAGGAGAAATGAGTTATTGGTTAACTGTGACTTGGTTATAATTGCATGGGTATTGGGGGGATTGCGTTTAATATTTCTGAGGGGCTTTTTGGTAATGTATTTCTCTTGTGACTTCTTTGTGAAACATTCACATACCTAAAAAGTTTAAATGAATGAAATGAATTTGCCTTTCTTTAAAAATGTCAACCCGTAGTTCCTGGTTTTACCTACACAGACCTTTAGATACAAGGGTATAATACTATCTGCTACCAAATGAGTAAAATGTTCTGCGATGTGCCTTTGTGTCACATCATAAATGTGATGAACATAGTAGATTTGGGCCAATTAAGAACAGACTAGATAGTTGAGCAGATTCTGGTAGATTTTTAAAATTTCAAATATACTGTTATAGGAGGGTGGTAGTTGTGGTCATAAACATAAAAGCATTTGAGAGAAGAGAAAGCTCAACAAATTAAAATAATTTATAGTAAACTGATCTGTTAGATTCTGTACACATACTACCTTATTTATTTCCCCCAAAAACTCCATGATGAGAGTACATAAATCTTCATGGTATAGATGAGGAAACTGAGGCTCAAAGTAAGTAAAATACTCATGGTCACATAGTTGGGGTTTAAACTCACTCCCCACCCCCACCCCCACCCCCACTGGACAATGAAGGCTTGTCTCACTGCCTGAAAGTAGTGCTTAGAATAATGGTTCTCACAGTGAGATTGGCTGGTGCATCATAGTCATCATTAACCACACCACTGGCATTTATACTATTGTGTTTATCACTTAGCTTTAAGAAAATGATCCTGATAATCAGAGTAAATATACTTTTAGGGTATAAAAGAATTTCGTAGTAAAAATGGTAGAACCAATAAAAATGATAAAACTAAGGAAAATGAAAGGAAATATAATAGAAGGAAATTATCCTGAAAACTGCCAAAGATCTGTGAGGTTATAAGCTGAATAAAAGAGCCCTAACTGATGACAAAAAGAGCCCTGTTGGTATAGTAGATTAGGAGTTGGGCTGCTAACCACGAAGTCAGCACTTCAAGACTACCAGATGCTCAGAGGGAAAAAGATGAGATTTTCTATTCCGATAAACATTTATCCATTTATCATTTCAGAAACCCACAGGGACAGAATCAAGTGGATAGCAGGGAAAGGGTGCTCCAAGCAACTTAATTCTTAAACTTCTGCCAAGTTTCCTGAACAAGAAAAATTATCTTTCATGTTAAGTGTTGGTTTACTTAAAAAAAACAAAACCAACTTTTCACTTTGTTAATGAATTGGGGCACTTGTAATGGATTCTCTGGATGCTTCCTGTGTTGATAGACAAGAATATTTTTGGAAATGTGTGTGTGTGATGGAGGACGGGACTGAAAGAGATGGCCTGAAGATGTTTTGAGGTGAGGTGTGGAAGGCAAACACCTCAGTCCCTCCTTTACGGGTGAAGGTAGTGCATATTTTCCTGATCTCCCCAAATGAGAGGCATTGGAAAATTTCCATTGGGTCACAGGTTTTCTTCTGGGTTCTTTTCCATTGGACTTAGGTAGCCAACAATTAAAATGTTAATTGAATGTTTTTACATTAAGACAATGAATGAAAAAGAAGAAGCCACCAGTTGGGAACAATGGAAACAAGCCACATGTTCAGGGATGTGGGTGGTTAGGTGATGTCATGAACGGAGCAAGAGTTACACCAGCATGTTCGTTTCCGAGCCCAGAACCAGGGATCAGCAGAATAATTTCCCTCTAATCCTTTCTTCCCTTCCTGTGTAGTTTATTTCTTCATTCCCTTCCCTTTTCTTTCTTTGTACTCTGCTTCCACTCTTATCCTCTTTCTCTCTTCTTCTTATTGGATTTAGGACACATTTTTATAATTATGAGTGGGTGCACGTGGATTAAAAAATGTAAGTGTCTCTGTCTTCCCACAGGCAAGAGAGAAACAAGTGGCATGGTGTGGGAAAACAAAACCATTCTGGTGGAATTCTTTCTGAAGGGCCTTTCTGGTTACCCGAAGCTGGAGCTACTCTTTTTTGTGCTGATCTTTGTCATGTACATCTTCATTCTTTTGGGCAACGGTACCCTTATATTAATTAGTATCTTGGACTCTCGCCTTCACACACCCATGTATTTCTTCCTGGGGAACCTTTCCTTCCTGGATATCTGTTACACCACCACCTCTGTCCCCTCCACGCTGGTGAGTTTCCTCTCAGAAAGAAAGACCATTTCTTTCTCTGGCTGTGCAGTGCAAATGTTCCTTGGCTTGGCCATGGGTACAACCGAGTGTGTGCTCTTGGGCATGATGGCGTTTGACCGCTATGTGGCCATTTGCAACCCTCTGAGATATCACATCATTATGAGCAAGAATTCCTATGTACCTATGGCAATTGGGTCTTGGTTTTCAGGAGCTGTCAACTCTGCAGTTCAAACCATGTTTGTTGTACAATTGCCTTTCTGCAGTAATAATGTCATCAATCATTTCTCCTGTGAAATTCTGGCTGTCATGAAGTTGGCCTGTGCTGACATCTCAGGCAATGAGTTTATCATGCTTGTGGCCACAACATTGTTCACATTAATGCCACTGCTCTTGATTGTCTTCTCTTATTCATTAATCATTTCTAGCATCCTCAAGATTCGTTCCTCTGAGGGTAGAAGCAAAGCGTTCTCCACTTGTTCAGCCCACCTGACCGTGGTGATTATATTCTATGGGACGATTCTTTTCATGTACATGAAGCCCAAGTCCAAAGAGACACTTAATTCAAATGACCTGGATGCTACTGACAAACTTGTATCCATGTTCTATGGGGTGATGACTCCCATGATGAATCCTTTAATATACAGTCTCAGAAACAAGGATGTGAAAGAGGCGGTAAAACATCTGCTGAACAGAAAGTTTATTAGCAAGTGAGTAGAAAAATTCATCATTAACACATCGGACATTATTGAAACCTGAGCATATGGGATCCTTTCACTTTATTTTTCACTCTCATGTTAAATTTTTTCATAATGAGATACACTATTTGAAGATGATGCAGGTTTATTTACAGAGAATTTTCAAGCTACAGAACAGTAGCATGAGGAAAAAAAGAGGTCACCTCTCACATCATCACTAGGAGACAGCTGCTTCCTAGCATTCTTAATTATATCTTTCAGTCTGAATTTTGGGCAGTATTGGGATTGGAAGTATGTGACTTTCTTATGCTCATTTTTTACCTAGAATTATTTCATAGGCAACATTTCATTAAAATTTTCAGAAAAACAAAGGCTTTATTGTGAAAAAAAGCAAAGCATAGAAAATCATCACAACACTACACCTGTGTGTTCTTCTTAAGAACCATTTGTCATATCTTCTTCTTAATCAAAGCCAGTTACTCTGTCAGCAGTCTCTTTCTTGTTCAGTCATTTTGGCATGTGCCCGTGACATCCTCGAGGGGCATACCGCTTGGGCGACGGGAAGAGAAGGAGTAACTCATAGGGGAAAGTTAAGGCAACCAACCCAGATATCCCTGTTTTATCTGGTCTGCTTTACTGCAGTGTGTCTGCTAGCTTTAGCATGAAAATAAACCCCAAAGCTAAAGATGGGTTTCAACAATCCAGGGTGCAAGTTCAAATAATAATGTGGGCAAATATTGGAAAAGGGAAGGTCAATTCAGGGTCCTTTTCTCCCTGCCATCCAGTCAATGCTGACTCACAGCCGTCCACTGGTGGTTTCCGAGACTGTAACTGTTTGGGGAGTAGAAAGCCCGGTCATTGTCCCGTGGAGCTGCTGCTGGTTTTGAAACCGCTGACCATGAGGATGACAGCCCAATGCATAACCACTACACCACAGGGTACAGGGAGCCATATGTAGCAGACTTTCTCCTTAGGACTTGGAAGTCTGTCAATCTTGATAGGAATACATAGCCTCATCTGGTGGATTTGAGTGGACAGCCTTGTGGTTAGTAGTTCAATGTTTAGCCTACAGTGTCACCAGGAATTAAAAAACATTCCAGGAAAAGGATTTTCTTGGTATCAATCATTTTATGTTTGTGTCTTATGTTTCAAGTCATCTCGGATACTTAGGCTATAACTTTGCTTATTCTTATAGTATTGGTCCAACCACCTCTCAGGTGCTTTGGTTGACCAATCTTCTTCCTAGTTTTTTATGAGTTATAAATATGTGATGGGATATTAACTGCAGTGGAAACTTTTAATACACACATTTCTTCTCATAGGAGACGAGTGCATTTTTCTCTCATAGGGATATAAAGTCACAGTCTGAAGAATGGAAAGTTGGGACACAGTATTGATATATTCATGCATTCAAATTTGCTGTGCAAATATACTGTCATTATAATCTCGTTATTTCTGCACTGATGGTGTAATGGTTAAGCGTTCAGTTGCTGACCCAAAGATTGGAGGTGTAAACACACAAGTCACTCTGTGAGAGCAGAGGCATGACTATGTGCTCCCAGTTAGATTCATTAGAAGCCCTGTGGGGCTGTTCTACTCTGACTTAGTGTTGCTGTGAGTTCGAATCGACTCAAGAGCACACATCAACAGCATGATATTGGTATATTTTATTCACTACCTCTCTAAAGGGGTTTTCCTTCAAAAAATTAGTCTGAAAACTTCTTATGGAGGATTATCTTTTGTTGTTAGCATTTTATTTTACTTCCTTGGGAGCATAGTCAGAGGAACTTTTCTGTCTCGCTAGATGTGATTGAGGGTGTGTGTTTTCTGCCAGATAGCACAAGATGTTTCCTTTGCACCCAGTCCAGAAGGTAGAATATAGACTGTGAATGCATTTTAAATATATGAATGGGAAAACTTCATGGAAGGTGGTGTAACAAGAGGGGCACATACAGATTGTCTCCACCAAAAAGGTGAGCTTGTTTAGGGATAGAACATTTCTTTGAAAAGGCTGCGGATTAAATTAAAGCAGTACTACTGAAGTAGCTGGGTCCTAATCCTTCAAACAAAGGGCGCAGCAGACATAGAAAGAACACATTATATAAAGATACATCTACCAGTCAAGGAATTCCAGAGTAGCTGAAAGAGACAAGAAGGGTTTTTAGAGAAGACAAAATGATCATGGCTCTGTTGATACCCTGGACCTGTCCCCCAGCTTCCAGTGTGGAGATAATACATTCATGTTCTTTAAAGCCACCCTCATTTTTTTTGACAGCACCGCTTGGAGACTAAATAAATGTCTTTTTATTTCATCCACATCCCAAACAAGTTCAGATTTAATTACTAAAGGGAGAGATACTGTGGCAATGCCAACATCATATGTGTAAGTTTCATCCATAAAATTCCTTCATTTTTTGTATACTTTTAAATCTATTCACTTCCTAAGCACTCTAATCCTGAGATCATTTTACCTTTGTATGTTTCCAAGAAACTTCTAAAATGGAAACTTACAAAAATATGTGAAAATGCATTGGTTATCTGCCAACCCACCTAAATTGTCTCCCTAAAATCTTCTTCTTTGATAGTGCTACTATTGTATAACTGAGGCTACAAAACTGAGCAAAATTAACACTCTGTGGAACCCTCGTTGCGATGCTTAGAGAAGTCGCCACACTGGGTGCAAACCTCACAGTGTGAAATGATAGAGAAGCATGCCTGCCCTCTGTTATTCCTGCCCCCCCCACCCCCCCCACCCCCCGCCGTTTCTCTCTTTATTCTAACATGAGCCTTCTCCAGGTTTGTAGTCATGGCGTCCAACATTGGTGTATCAAATATTATCAAGTTATTATGTGCATCAGAACTTTAATCACAAATGAATTGAATTGTTTCTGAAAATAATTTTTAAAGGGAACCTTTAAAAGAGTCTTGACACTTACTACATGTGTGTGTTCAAATAGATGCTTGATGAAATCAAATCTTAAAATAGAGTATGCACTTAAACGGGTCCCAAGGGGAGGAGGACTTTGACCATAGCACTGATCTTTGAAAAACGATTCTATAAGAAAAGGGTAAAATGAAAAGGGTTTCCCTGTCATTTCAAAATGGATATATTCACAGTTTATTGTGTTTCTTTTGTAATTGAAATTATAAGCTGAATTGACCTCATTTCTTACTTGACCTACAAATGTGTTCTATTCTCTCATATTTTAAAATAATAAAAGCTGTATCAACCAAACTATAGACTTTCCTAGCCTCTCTAATTACTACCCATTTCTTACATTATAAAAAAATTCCACTCTTATTTGATATTTCCATAGAAATGTATGCATTTTTAATATATGTCCTTTAGTATGTTGAGAAATTCCCATTACATTCCTATTTTGTTGACTTTTAAAAATCAGGAATGAGTTTTAGATTTGGTCAAATGCATTTTCTGCATTAATTGATATGACCATGTTGTTCTTTTCCTTTGCTTTATTTATCCGATAGATTGCAGTGATGGTTTTTGGGATGTTGAACCAGCCTTGCATATGTGGTATACATTCCACTTGGCTTTGATGTATCCTTTTCCTTTTTTGGATGTATGGTTGGATTCAATTTTAGGCATTTTGGATCATAACTTCCATATATACATATATTAAATTTTATTTGCATATGTGCACATATTATATACAGATATACTTTCAAAAATTAATATTTAAGTACAGCAAAATGTACAAAATACAAATTCAAATGTATATACTTTCATATGCATTTATATATGACAACATTTAGTGAATATACACAACATATTTTCAGAGCATATATATGTATTTTTAATTTTCTAAAATATTATATATTTGATGTAAACTTTATTGCAACTGTATTTTTTCACTTAAATTGTTCAGTTTCCAAGATGTTTAGGTACATACATTAGATACCAATTACTGTCAAATCAATTCCAACTACTAGTGACTCCATATGTGTCAGAATAGAACTGTGTACCATAAAATTTTTCAGTGGCTGATTTTTCCAGAAATAGATCACCAAGCCTTTCTTGATGAGCTTCTGTTGCTTTTATGCTGGGAGATATGATTCCAGACTAAGCCAGACTAGGAAGAGGCAGAGGTGGTCCACTTCTGAGGGATTTGCCACTTAAGACCTTATGAATAGCGGTAGAACATTGTCTAATAATGCATGAATGTGTGCCATAAAATTAGTAGGCACTCAAAATAAGACTGAGGAAGACCTACCTGCCCCCTTAGAGTAGAATTGAACTTCATTATGTGGGTAGAACAAAGTCTCAGGCTTTGTTTGCAGATGGAACATGAACCCAAATAAGAAGAAAGAGTTTCAAGCATCCATTAAAAATCAGTGTGTGGAGTATATGAAACATGAATCTGAAAAAACTGGAAGTCATAAAAAATGTAATGAAACACATAAATGTCCATAAATATATATACACATTGCAACGTCCAATGTCCTGGAAGTTGCAGTGTGTATATATATGTGTGTATGCATATAGATATAGATGATATAGTTTATAACATCATAAATGGTGACTTTACACATGGACATTACAGAATGGGATACACAGAAAACATATAGACTATATCTGTGGAATGAGGTGATGAGGAAGCTCAATATCATTGGTCAGAGCAAGGTCAAGGAAAATCTTCAATTATTCATGCATGAGTTTAAGTTGAGGCTGTAAAAAATTAAATAAGAGCCAAAATATGACCGTCACTTTATTCCACCTATGTTTAGAGACAATCTCAAGACATGTTGTGGAATACCATAAAAGAAATCACATCTTTAAAAGAAAATCATTAATTTGACAGGACAGAAATAGAAGGCCCAAATGGGTGTCGGAAGAGATGGAAACTTAGTATTTAATGTAGAATACCTAAAAGGAATGGAAAAATTGATGAAGTAAAAGAGCTGAATAGAAGATTTGAAAGGATATCTCAAGGAGACAAATAGATTATAATAAAATGTGCAAATTCATGAAGCTAGAAAACTAAAGGGAAAGAAGAT